CATATGCAAATTATTATGCAAATTAGCCCCGGCGCTATGCATTTTTTCTGGGGAGAACCCTGAATACAATAAACCAAAAATTTGGGCCATACAAAATTTAGCCAATTGAAATGTGCAATTAAGGGAGCTGAATTTCAGTGTCTCCAATCCAAATTTTCGTGAAATACAGTCTCTCACACAATTAAGAGAATTTTACATGTAATCAAACACAAATAATATCGCTTATTATAACCACATGGTTCTGGGAAATTCATTTCTAATTCATTTCTTTTTAAAGCAAAACTTTACCTTATGGATTAGGATCCCTTCCTGCATTGGAGCCCCTTCCTTATCATCAGGAACTCTTCCACCTGATCGTAGAACTTGAGACAATCTATCCCACCTGAAGGAAAACATTTGGACATCAGATCTTCTAAATTCACTGCAAGATACGACTATATCAAATGCAGGCCTGTGATGCGGAGCTGGATGATGTATCGTGATTGGAGGCTCGGCAGACTGGAATCGCTCCTGTCGCATAGTAGTTGCTTGCTGCCCTGCACCGCTACATGACTTGAATCGATCTCTATGACTAGTTGGAGGAACATCAATTTGCATTTCTATTCTAATATCTGTTAAGGACGGAAGTGTATGGCCCGTTGTACCCTCGTTGCCTCCAATAAAAGCATACATTGCAGATTTATTATCAAGCTGCTGATTTGCAACATCCTCTGTATTAGAAGTTGATCCCCTGGCCAATATTTGATGTGGGTCTCCACCATTGTCATGATGGTAACTACCATTCCTTTGTTCCAGAATAGGGTGGTCATTCAAATGTGCTTGCACAGCAGCAATATTATCAAAGTCTCTTGCAGGCTGAATGTCCTCAATGTGAGAACAAACATTATTATTATTATTCATAATTGGTTGTGTCTGCAGCTCTGGTATGGCTGTCAACGGAACAGACAAATTGCGATATGTATTCAGTGGAGTTCCAGGCATGTTGACGGCACCACGTCTCAGTGGTTGGTTTGGATCACATCTACTAGACACTAACTGGGAGCTGCTATTGCCACTGTGACCAGGTGGGTTGATCTGGTGTGCTCCATGCTTCTGTTTCTGCAGGTATTCATGTATGTACCTGTACAAGATATTCCACCAATTCTCTGCAAATGGAGCAAGAATGAAAAGACAACACTTTAATGACAACACACTTCAGGTAAAATATTTGATGTACAGAATGTTTTTCCAATAAGCAGCCTCATGGTTGAAACCGTTCTACTGTCCTTGTAGCAAGTCTTCCTCAGAAAAAACTTGATAATGTTCTGAACAATATTATCCATATTAGAACAAGGTGTTGATATGACAATTGTAATTGTAGTCTTGTTACAAAAGCAGTTCACAAAAGGTTCTGTTTATTGGGGTTATTAGAAGACAGTACATGCTTTCTATCATACTAAAGTACTATCACCAAATTTAACTGTTTCTGGCCTTTACACTCAAGTCTGAATGAGTGTAGGCAAGCCTCAGTAGGTTTTGATTGTATACAGTGCCACCAGTGGCTGTTCTCTGCTCTTATCGCCAAGTGTCAAACAAAATTTTAGCCATTCAAAATCAAAGAAGAAGTTGAAAATGTCAGTTTTCACCTGAGTTAAGCTGACAAACAAACACAGAGTAATTAAGGCAAAGTCTAAAGAACACAGCAACAGAATGTACATGAACATGAAACACACAAGTCAAAAGTGTAACAAGGCAACCCGTTCCATAGATACATTCACAGATCTTGGTAAACAAACTTACCACTGTCCACCAGTTGTACAATTCGTCTCAAATTCTTACAGAATGGCATAGTACATCTGCACATCTCAGTACACTGTTCAATGCTGAGTCGACAGACTTCTGACACAGATTTGCAGATTTCACAACGTGTTTGAGTCGATCGGCACTGCTCGGTATGGCGGAAACCATCCATAACAAAGACACATGATTGGCAGATGCAGTCAAGCCAACGCTGAGTAAGGTGGAAACTAGTCTTGAGATGATCCTTGAAATGGGTAGAATGTTCCACATTACCGGGAAGTCTCGGCTGTAAGCAGAGAAAAGCACATTGATCATTAGATACACCTTGTCATTTATGTTACTATAAAATAAACCAATTCTAGAAATATTTTAGTATACCAAAATGAAATTAGATACACCTTGTCACTTTAATTTCAGGCGTTTATGTTACTATAAAATAAATCAATTCTAGAGATAGTTTTTGAAATTTTCATAGACTACAAAAATGAAATCAGTTTACAATACTGTGAAATACTTTATTTTCGCTGGAATTAATTTTTGCTGAAATGGCTTTTTGGGTGTTTTGTATGTAATTTATTTTCACTGATATTTGACGAGTTTAATGTGAAATATAGGAAAAAATATATATTCGCTGGATTTTATTTTCACGGAATCATCCCTTCAGCGAAAATAGCGAAATTAAATTCCAAGCGAAAATAAAGTATTCTACAGTATATTATTATTTGTTATCAAAGACTTATAAGATAAAGGCATTCAATTAATGTGATATGCAAAAAAGATAACATCTGAAGACACACAAATTGCGAGAGGATTACAAAATCGTAAAACAAACGTTACACTTCTAGAAATACAAACGTAACGTGAGAGAAATGAACATGACACTAATCATGACTGCATATTACACGTTTGCCTTTTTGAATATAGCAACAACATCAATCTCTTCTGTTTACAGAAACAAACATTGCATGTTATGATGCTATTGGTCAGAAAAGGACGAATCGTTGCGCGCAATTGAGCTGACATGAAAGGGGAGAATCTTCATAAATGTTGCGTATCTTATAAAATCCAGATATTTATGTAACTATGTTACTTACACTAACGCTGTATGGCTGAGTTTCACAGGATGCTCCGAGTGTCGGCAGTCGACATACTAATACATTAAGTACCTACATTATAAAGGAATATTAATTGCCATAACATAATAGATAAATGTCTTTGTATATGCGATGAGATCAGTAATATAGAAAGTATTAATTTTTCACTCAAGTGTGAATCCAGAAAGGTCTTTGTACAAACCAACTAAAATCTGAAGATTTCAATAAAAAAAAAAAAATTCTAGTTTATTTTTATTTTTACAAAAAAACAGACCAGATTAAGTAAAATTCTGTATCTGCCCATGGTATTATATTGCATAAAGACATGTAACTTTTAACAATATTTAAACAAAATTATTAAAATCTGTCTGGTCTGGTTTGACAGTTCTAAAAATCTGAATTACTTATTTTGAGTGAACGTACAGGATTGTCATCTCCTGCCCCGCCAACGTCATCTCCCGCCCTGTCAACATCATCTCCTGCCCCGCCAACGTCATCTCCTGCTTTATCATCCTCTCCACATTCCTTGTCTTTTCTAGTCCTACCATCTTCATCAAGCTTGTCTGCTGGCACCTTGTTTTGACCGCGACGTGGCCTGCGTTCATTGTCATCACCATCTTCATCATCACCACCACTACTTCTACCACTAGTTGTTCTGTTCCTTGCACCACATGTAGACGGAAGTGAACTCTGGCAAATACAAACAAATTTAATGTGTAAACAACATATTAAGTACTGTAAAATGACTAATTTTCAATGGGTTTGAATTTCGCTGATTTACCATTTTATGCATATTCAATTGCTTTCAAATTCACGGTTTTATCATTCAGATATATTTAAACTTGTTCTGTGTTCAATTTTACATATTCACTGGGTTTTAATTTAGCGCATTTTCCAGTCAGCGAAATAAGCAAAATTAAAACCCAGTGAATAATTAATCTTTTTACAGTATTTCATATGGACATAACTATCTCCAGGCAGACAAACTATGTAAAGTATTACCTGTCCTTGAGATGTAGTGCCATCGTTTCCAGACTTTCCACCACGACTCCTATTTCTTTTGCCATGACTCTTTGCAGTCTGTCTCCCTAAAGCTTTACTGCTCTGCAGTTTTTGGTTTCCATTGATTTTCGTTTTGGACTCTGGCTTGCACCTTACGAAACGATAGTTCAAACAAATTCTGTTAATGTTTTTGTACATGCTCAATACAATTTTACAAAATGCTTCCAGGTACAGTGCCCCCCGCCCCAACCCACCGCCGTCAGACTATTCAAAACATATTTCCAATGTAAATGTCTGAACATACTGATACCAACTGCATTTTTAATGGTTCATCAAATGTATTGATTAACTTAAGCCCAAAAAATTAATACTCGCCCCTTAATAATATACACAGTTATCAAGCATGTATTAATACAATTATTCAATTTTTTTTTTTTTTTAAACATAGAAATTTGAAGTGTCATACTCACTCAGTTTGTATTTTTCTGGTCGTCACTTTCTTTGTATTCTTTCTTTTTCTATTCCGATGTTTTCTTTTCTTTAAGGTTTGTACTGCTGAAATAATGATAATGAATAAGTCCCAGCAAACCTCAAAATAATAACATAACAGCATCATAATGTTGCCACAAATTCTGAAATATACGAGTGGATACTCACCATCATTAGATACAGTATTGTTAGATTTGTTTTTCTCATTCATGCACTCAATCCATTCTTTCCGTTTAGACTCCGGTTCTTCAATTAGTCCTTTCTCCTTCTTATGTTCCAGAAATTTGATAATTTCATTTTTTTTGTTCCCATCACAGAGCAGCTCGATTTGCTCCTGTATTTTGTTTGAATCCATTGCATCTATCATTTGGCATCCATCACTTTTTTCATGGGCTTCTTCTTCATTTCCAATACAGTGTTGTTCTTCATTATGTTTCTCACAATCATCAACTTCTTTCTCATTTTCTTCATCAAACTTCTCTTTTTCATAACTAGTAACAAACATCCCGCCAATTTCAGAACCATCCGCGTCAACGTCTGTTTTGTTTTCTTCATAGAGTTCCTCACTTTCACTGAATGTGATGTCCTCCACGGTGGTAGGTTCATCATCAGACACCAGTGATTCAGACGAATCCTCTGATGGGTCCGCTTGACTTGACGAATTTACAGTTGGCTCATTATCCTTGACTACCGCAGAATCTTCATGAATAACACTCTGCAAAATTTCTTCACTATAGCAAAAACTGGACGGTTTTTCTAACGGAGCATTCTCCAGAGTGCTACTTGTGCTGTGAGGAACGACTACACTTTCTTCTTCATCCTCCATTCCATGATGTGGTGTGACAATATTGTCGTTCTCCTTGACAGCAGATGTCATATCTTTCTCCCTTTCCACTGTATCCGCATCAGCCTTCTCTGGAATATTCATCTGCAGTTGTTGTTCCTTTGAGACTTGCATCTTAATGTGAGTTGGAGGAATCTTTAAAATCATGTCTGTGAATCTTACCGATGGTGATGTGCCGATGGATAAAGCAGACCGCAATTCACCATTCTTGCTCTCACTAATACTGGTGCACTCTTGGCTGATTTGATTGCACTTCTCTACGTAAGTCAGTTTATTGTCGTATTGCTGAGTATTCTTATCTTCACATGGAACAGGTTTTATTACTTGTTGTCTTTTCTCATCAGTAGATTTGTTACTGTCTTCCAGTTTCTTATTGTGTTCTAAACATTTCTCTATCTTTTCTTTGCTAGGTGTTTTACAGTTTTTGTTCTTTTTATTTTTTTTAATTGATCGTACACCTTTTTGTTGTTGTTTTTCAGACAATATATCATCAGTTGAACATTTCTCAATCTCGGTTATGTTGTTTATGAAACATTTGTCTGTTTTATCCAGGATTAGAGTTTTATAGTTTGTGTCCTTTTCATTGCCTTGTATCAACTGTACACTCTGTTTTTGTTGTTTCTCAGACACTTTTACATCAGTTGAACATTTCTCGAGTTTGTACTTGGAATTCAAGCTGTCCGCCACCAAGTATTTGACACGTGTATCGTCTATCCTGTCAGATTCTGGCATTGTAGCAAGTCTGCGTCTACCTGAAATTATTTACAGTAAATACAATTAATTTGATATTAGACTCAAAATGCAGTATACATCACATTTCCCTCTGAACTTCTTTTATGCTCGCTACATGTATGTTATTCAACATGTTCACGATATAAATGGGAGATGGGTTGATTTTGCCACCAGTGATTTGCGAGCTTGTTTTCTCAGAAATATGTTATAAATGTACATACAGAGACCGAGATTTTATAAATTATATTTTCCCCAACTTTGTTGTGTGTGTGTATGACTGAATGACAAACACATCTTCTATATTTTCCAAGCATTTTGGAAAATTTCAAACATAATGTGCATGCCTAAAATACAAAACATTTTCAACAAAAAAAACTAAAACTAGTATCATAGTAAAATATTTAAATATTTGCATAGTCGTACTGACCAAAAGTAAATCAACATCAACCCCCTCCATCTCACTTGTCTGGTAACTAAGCAACCAGGAATAAGGCCACTTTGATGAACCTACTGATTACAACATGTCAAATTAACATTTTGAGCACTTTTGGCACCATCTACAAAATTAGTTTTTACAGTCTGCTTCTCTCCACATGAAATGGTCATTAAATTGACAAAACTCCTGATTAAAAACTAAAAGCAGTGTCTGAACTAGTCGGTATGGACCAAATTATTATAAAAATTTAGCAAAAATTTAGCAAAATGGATACTATGAATACTGTAGGCTTAAAAAAAATAATGAGAATTTAATAAACATACTCTCGATAGGTGATAGTTTCTAGTGCGTGCTATATGAAAATTTATGTACTTTTATCAACTTTTATATGCGATGCCATTTGGAGTCTATGGTCTATGGGAGAAACCATAGCTCTTCTGTGTGAATACCTCTCTCTGATTTCTTAGTATTGTCACAAGTAAAAGCAAATGGCATTGAAGAAGAAATTGAAATCTAAAACAATCTCACACTATTAATTATATTACTCAATGTTATTTGAAATGTATGGCTGTATACATGGTCTGCCAACAGCGAACATTCAGACCGAACTACATTATTATTCACTCCAGACAGGTAATTTGCATATTTGTCTGACTACCAGGTAATATAGTACAACAGGTAACAACAACGTTATTCATTACCGCAATTCTAAACAAACACAACAATATATCTACTTTAAAGAATTATATTCAGTAGTTTATGGATAAATACAGTATGAAATCTGCGAAAATGAGATTTAAAAAAAAAAATGCAAATTAGTTTCGCGAAGTGCTCCGTTTTCTCGGAATAAAGGAAGTGGCTGAGACCGCAAAAAAACGACTCGCGCTATCAAATAAAACGTTAATCGACCATTTAATAAGTGTAAAACCATAGATAGAATAAACATCTAATATTATTTGGGTCGGTGGTTAGCGTGTTTATTAAAGAAACAGATTGTTTTGATTTTTTTCGACTTCATTTCCTCCTTTAAATTAAAAGTCCTCGGTAATGGCGACTGTCATGATTGGGAAATTTTGCTCTTATATTTATCCGATTGTTACCACAACGACAATATCAACAAATTTAACAGGCCGACTATTGCGCAACATATATATCCCGTGAAGACGAGCTGTAGCGATACTTAAAGCTACGATTTTCCGCCGTCTGGCGCTGACAACTTAACCGGCCTACCGCGGCATTTTCGTGCTAAGTATGAGTCATTTCGACATTGCGTCAGCGTAAATAAAGAGAATCTGTGCAGCGACTTGACTTTAACTTTAACACACACACAAATTAAACTAACGCAAAATAATACACGCTAGTGTAATATATATGTCCAATAGATAACGAGCAATGATGAAATAACAATCAGATATGGGACAGAGAAATTAAACTTGCCTTTTCATTGCACAATCGGACATCTTGTACACCCTAGGTTCGGGAAATTAAATACCATTGACCCTAGGATATTAGCAAAAACACCTCAGTAATAAGCGATTGCGGGCGCTCTACAAGTTGTACGAGTACTACCAAATGTACTAAGGACGTGAATATTTGATTACAATCCGATGTATGGATATATATATATATTAATTTTCATGTTTTACTTTTGCATATTTTTTATTATAAAGTAATATCATCGCCACCTGGTGCGCATCACGTATATACATAGCAGTGCATTGTGGGAGTTTATGTGTGATAGTTAATTCAGGTAGGGGGATTCCCCATGTCCCGCTTACTCTCGCCATTATTTAAACCACAGTGTAATGAAGGTAAAAGATATGATATAACATACGGGCACTGTGACGCCTATTGAAAACATAGTTGAACTCCGTTGACCTTGGCCTTTTTTGGATAATATTATTTCCTTTATCATAGTTTGTTTCAATATGAATATGCATTGTCATCATATTTAATTTCGAATACAAACATGTTTTAGGATTGAAACAGCAGCGGGAAAGCAGTCTACCGAATGTATTTGTTTCATGTAAATATCTTACCAAAAAAATTGGTGCCTAATTATTTTAAGGGACATAATTTCCAGCTTTATTCAAAGTAATTCAGATATTTTAGTATAAAAACAAATGGCTGATCTCAGGAAAACGGTGCTGTGTTTAGACATGAATAGATAACAGCAAATCTTAGCTGGCTTTTGCCCAAGTATTTTGTACAGGTGTCTGTCAAAAATTAATGATTTACTGAGACAAATATGAACTGCCTCATTGTGTGACTACTGTATTATAGTACTTATAGTACGCCCTCTAGGAATAACTATCATGTTGCAAGCTCTAGTTTGTTTGCAAGTCAACTCAAATAGTTAGTTGGTGTCCAGTGGAGAGAGAAGTCAACAGTACTGTTGCCTCCTGAGAATCTACATCTTTAAACACTACTATCTTTGTTTCGTCGAATGAACTGTTTGTCAAATATAGGATTTTTGAGTACAATTTTTCTTTGTATGTGTAAGCAAAATCTCATAAAAACCTCAGAACGGATTTTGTTCAAATTTGGTACATGGGGGTCATGCTCGTGTCACCTTCTCAGGCTGTTATGGAGTTTGATTTTTGCAGATATTTTGTTAATACAAATGATTGTTTATATTCTGTATTCACATGGTATATTTAAAGTTTAACTTTGATTTGTTTGTAGACATTTGTTTCACAAATTTTAGATATGCATTTCACCGATTATTTTTAGCCGACTCGGAGATTACACTGTAGTCGGCGGACAGTTGTTGATGTGACTTCGCTTCAATATTTTCGTTGTCAATTTTACAGCAAGGAAAATGATCGGTCTTCTAACCTCTGGCTGCATACTTAATAGTAATTATATTTTTCAAAGATAGTTTTTCAGACCAAAGTCTTCCTTCAGAAAAAAATGGTTTGTGGCACTGACTTCAGGCTTGATGTAGTGCAACGAACACACAAATAAATTAAATAAATTGAAACCAAATCATGACGCTAATCAAAATAAAACTTCAAGTGAAGTGATTGTGTGTAAGAGGTGGATGATAACGTTGCCGCCCGCAACGGCAGTTGCCGAAATTGGTTATTTGACAGTTTTTTTCAAAAAGAACACTGACAGTAACATGTAATTTACATATTGTTGACTGATATAACATTACATGCATATTGCGTAATGAATATTTATATACGTATAGTTGAATCCTGGGAAGATGGGGCGACGAATAAAATGAACGAACTAGAGATAAGCAAAGTCAGTATATAAAATATTGGTCATAACTCTACTGTAATAACAGAATAATCTCTGTACATTGCACTGTGGGGGAGACATGATACACACACGTCATCTCAGTGTTGTACAGGCTCCATGCTTACGTCATAAAAGGTTGCTACGTTTTGTGTAACTTCACGCAAATTTGAGATTTGGTGGGCTAATATAGGTTGCCAATCCGAATGTCGGCATTTTTTTTTAATATTAAAAACTGTTCTAAAAAACGAAGACTGAAAAGTCCAATGTACTGCCAAGTGATAAGTGGCATGTGATCTTCCCCTGAAGGTGTTTATTTATTTTGTTCTGTGGCCAGTTGTACGCACCGGTGTGTGAAATCAAAGACATCTTTTTCTAATGTCTTTGGTGGTGAAAAAAACTTACACTCTCACAGTCAAAGAAATAATCTTACATCATCAAGCATGGAGGTATCTAAGAAATCTGAACACAAACGGGAATACAGTTTTTTGTTATATTATTCCAAGCTCAGTCTGCGCACTTCGTCTGTAAAAAAAAAAACTATCATGAACAAACAAATGCATATTCACAACATTTTCACTGAGTAGGCGAGTATCTATCTCTCCTATCACGCGAGCCCTCGCATGGCAGTTCTTTCACCGCCGCCTTTGTTTACAAATAGTTATTGTCAACGTCATAGAGGGCGTTGTCCGATGAGTCACATGACCATTTGGATTTTGAACTGAAGCGGCTGATGGAGTGATCTGCAGACCGTGGGAAACTGTGTGGAGCGCTAATTCACTGCTGATCGGTAATCATGCTCGAACCACACGAGGGTCCCGAGTTTGGGAAAGGCGATTTCGTCCTTCTGGACACCGTCGACCTGCCACATTTTATGGAAAATTTGAAACTAAGGTAAGTGCTGACTGGACGTAGAGAGATGTGGGTGATGATGAGGCGACTGCCCAATTGATTTTTCCGCCAATGCAGGACGTGGAGCAATGGATGAATTTGGGCGATTTGGGGGAAGGTTTTAAAGAACTACTTCAGGGGTTTCTAGAGTACAGTAATCACAGTACAGTAATCACAGGCTCTATTCTGTGCATGTATTTGTTTGGAATGTATAAGCATTGAAAGTATTACACCGAACGCCGGTATTGAAAACACGGACACTGTCGATTTCGCTTCCGGGTGGGTGTAGGGGTGTACAACTTTAAAAAAGTATCCCTGCTATGCTTGTGGTTAGTTCTCGCGTGATAAGATAAAATCATTTAAAGTCAACACTTGTCTTCTGTATGTATCAGTACCAATATTGATCTACATGGTGTACAGAGTTACCATTTAGTTGAATATTCAAAAAGAAACTGAAAACAAAAATACTGCAATGATACAATAGTACTGCATAAATTATTATAGTTTGGTTTTATTTTTGCTTATTTTTTTGATAGATAAATAGTTTAACTAAAAACCCAATGAATATGCAAAGTTAAAATTAAAATGTTTTGTTTATTTCACAAACCACTAAATATATAACCTTATCTTATAAAACCTTGAAAGAATATCCCTTAATAAATACATACAATTATTGTGAACCGTAGACCTGGTTAAGCACAGTTATTTCTCATTCTACTATACATGATATTAAAAAAAAAAAATTGAAACTCACTCATTGAGTTCACTAAACCCAAAAATTCTATGTTTTGACTCAATATAAAAGACATGTCTTTTCTCTAACGGTTTAGTGATTGCTATTAGGCAAACACTATAGGGTGGAGCAGACGTTGACCTCAGAATGAGGATAAGGCAGTTTTCATGTCTGTTTCCATTGTTTGATCTTTAACAGGTGTTTCAAATGACCATTTTTACTCATTTTATCCTTTCTACAATCAGACTGATTTCTTAATCTTGATTTCTTCTTGTCCTAATTTTTCAGCGTTTTGTTCTGATAAAAATAATCATCAAGTAAACCTGATTTTGTAGCCTCTGTCATGTCCACACTTATTAAGTATTGGTGATGACAACATTGCAGCAAATTTATCAGTTTTTGGGAATTTTTTAAGTTTTATTAGGATTGAGATAATTTTTCCCCACAAAGGGACTGAGCTATCGATTTTTTATTTAATTTTTTTTTCTTACTAAACTGTGTATTTTTTGGGTTTTTAATATTTCATAATAAGTGATTGGATTTTAAAAAGGGATCAAAGTATGCAGCCCAACCCTGACTCTTATCACACTGTGAGTGAGTGAAGACTGTTATGTTATTTGGAAGGTGAGCTAACAGGAAGCTAAATAAATTTTAAAAAAAATCCCAGGTACCTGGTTCCAAAAATTGTCTGTTCATCATGGTTATAAATTAATATGTGAAATATGTGTGAAATGCTCTTATTTGGGGGTCGCTAGTTTCCAATTCTGAAAAATTACCCCTAAACTCTATCCCGTTTACCCCTAATGAAATGGTCTGATCCTCTTTCAGCCATTGAGCCCTCTTGTAGCTTTGAAATTAAATTGAGTTGTACAGTGTATATATGATAGTGTATATCTAATTTACAAATAATTTCAACTAATGAGTCTGTACTAGTAAAATGTATCCTGTTATAACTGAAAAATATGCACACATAATAACTAACCAGATGGACTGTGAACTAACCTACCGTATCATTGATTGACATGTGAATGTTATACTGCTTTAGAGGCCAGAGAGCAAACATAATCTGTTAAAACCTTATTCTGACAATATATTATACATGTACCTAGAAAAAAGCGATCAAGTCTCTTTGCTGTTATGAGATCAAAAACACATCCATTTTTTGTTAATTTACAACTATGAATATGATAATTGTGTGCCAAATTTATGATTAATCTGCTCATATGTTAAGATTCCATTGAAAATCTAGTTGGATTCTAGGGCAGAGAAGAAAAAATACTTCCCTGTAATAAACTCTTGTCAATCACTGTTATGTAATAGTGACGCAAAATACCCCCCCCCCCTTTGTTTACAGTTTATAACAGGCTTTTGGTATTTGCTTTCATTTAAAAACTTACGGTAAAATCATCTTAATACTATAAAAGTAATAAAATTTAATAATATTACTAAAAGTCTCATGTAGAAAATTACTTAAATTTGAGTTAGATATTCCAAGCTTTAGTCATGCTTATTTACAGTTGTATTTGTGTGTATCCGTGTGTATCCGGTGGTTTCCCATCTTGTAGAAGGTCATTAGGTCATACTGCTGCTGGATGTCTGGCATGGGGCAATCTGCTGAGATGCTTACATAACTTCCTCTATGTAGGTGTGGAAGTGAAATTTGACACATCTATGGAATGCAACATTGTCATCTTTGGGTGTGGCTGCTCACATTTGTGATTACAGATTATGAATGAAACAGCTTTTGCATGTCAGATACTACCGGTATGTCAGAACACCATGACCTCTCCCTGACGTTTGTTGGGTATGTAAGTTATTTTCACGAGTGGTGCGGTGTTTCTTGTGCCCATGTCATCATGAGTGAAGTGAGCGAAAATAACTTCTAAACCCTACGAATGAAGGGTGAGGCTGGCGTTCTGTTATTACATTACGTTACTTTAAACCATGGTTACTAGAAAAATGGTTAGGAAACTCTCGCTTCTTTTGTTAGGATGCGTGTCTCGGTAAACAATTAAAACAAAGGGAATTAGCATACTGCCAATGTTGCGGCGATTGTAACCATACAACTTCTGTGTCACTTACACTGCCACTGGCAGCGGTCAGGAAAAAAAAAGATGGCCGACATTGCGATCGGGGAGTAAAATATCTGCAAACTTCGATAAAATGAAACTAACATTGTTTAAACTATCATAGTGTTCTCATAAAAAACGCAGATCATAATTCAATGTACAAAATATACTTATGAAACGTTCAGAGAAGCATTTTTGGGGTTCAAATCTTCGTCGCCATGTTGGACATCAGTAGACGCAGATCTACTGAAACGATGAATATTTTCTACATCAACCGCTCAATCCCGTGGATTGCACCAAAGAATCATGGGACACTATTGTTTATGCTGTTTACAAAGTTAATCAATCTTTTGTTATCCATTGTAATTTTAATCCAGAAAGTAAATTTGTTGTGAGATTAGGCTTAACTGGAAGTGCCCCTTTAACCCACAGAAATGATAACAATGTAAACTATAAATACTACCACATAGAATTGTCTGTCTGACATTGTGTTGCCGAGATGTCTGTGTGTCCCCTACCTTGATGCCTAGTAAAATTTAATAGTTTATGAAGATATGCTATTTATGATAAAAGTCTTACATAGAAAAGTTCTTGTTTTGTAAAATTCAAATTCAAAACAAGAAACAAAATGCACTGTAACCATAACGACAAAGCTCAGAAAGGAAATAATTACCTGACCAGTGAGAGCTTCTGGTTTTATGTTTATACATAACTACACTACTGTTCTGCATTGGGGCAGGATACAGACTCTTGTACAGGCCCTCTTACATTATTTGACTATAATTCTGATGTTTAAAAATATTTGCATTACCTCATAGGGTTTATTTTGTCTTCATTATTTTCTTCTTTTGTTATAAAGTGTAATCTGTTCTTCATCATGTCACCTGACTCTTACCTCATTTTTGGTCACATCTATTCTTAGATTCCGTCTTCTTATCATACAGTATATTAATTATACTAGTATGCTTTAGGACATTCAGTGTTCTCTCCCGGGAAAAAGTGTAGAATATTGGCTAATTTACATAACAATCTATGTTAATTATATCTATTGTATTTGTTGTTACACTAAATTGGTTCTATTGTTTATCCAAAAATTAACAGTTGGAAACCCCTATTCAATCATGCCCCTGGGGAGAACCCTGGCATTTACTGCTTTGTTGAATGAACCTTCAGTTTAATTGTGTGGTTTCTATAACCTGACATTTTTCATTACCCGACCGTAAACTTTTTTGACCATATTTAGGTGATATCACAAATTTTAAAATTGTGCCAGGCTTTGAATGGGATTTTACTTTGCAAAACTTGGTAATGTAAACAACTACAAACAAGATTTATGACATTAAATCTTATTTGCAAATAATATAAAATATAATGTCATAATATAAAAGACAAAAAAACAAAATGCATTTACATGTATAACCAAGAAATAATTTATCTGAAAAAAATTTCTTAACCATCTGCCTATTTTTGAAAATCAGGTTACCAGTATATGAACCACAGTATTTTTTTTTATATTTGGCCCTATCCCCTGCATGTGAAAAAAAAGATTGAATGTCTAAATCTGACTCCACCCTGTAATATAACAAAAGAAACTGGAGCTTTAACAGTAATTCTGAAAGTATTAGATAATGTAAGCTGGCTCTCTACTCAATACGCCATGAAATGTAGAGATTTATTTGGTGGGATAGGGGGAGGGGGAGGGGTGTACCCGGTACTCAATCAATCAAATTAAAGATTATTTGAAGAACTTTAATACAAGTAATTATCAGTTCCAATTCTGCGTTGTTTCGCATTGTTTTCTTAATATCTCTTTGAGATTGGTTGAAACTGCTGAATTGTGAGATATTTTTATAAAAATAGTGCTCAGTCGTGAAAAATAATAATTAATTCACATGTTGTACAGCTAATTGAAAAACTAATTGTGAAAGTTTGTATTGTAATTTTTTCAGGGTGGTAAAGTTACATAAGGTTTCCACTACGACTGAATCAGAAGGGTGTTGTTTGTTCTTAATTCTCATAAATATCTTTGTTCAAAGTTGGTGCTGGTTACAGGCTAGCACACATTTATTGGTTTTGTTAACATTCAAAATAATTCTGTTATGTTAAGAGCTATAGCTAATGGCACCTTTACAGTGTAACTGTTATGACACTATTTTTGTATTGTTTGAATTTGTTCAAAAAATACATGTTTGATTTGTTTT